TTTTCTACAAAACAAAACCGGAAATCGAGGGGTTATGACGTCATTAGCAGGCGACACAATGACACTATGGACACGGTCCGTGTCACTAGTTAAAATTGCTTATTTCTCTGGATTTAAACATTCTTCGAAACATTTGGGATAATGTACACAAGTCAGCAAAATATATAACACTGTTCTAGTGGTTTTTGGATATTTTAATAAAAAATCGTACATATTGTGCCTTCAAATAAATACAGTAAAAACAGTGATGTTGTAAAATATTACTGCAATTCAAAATAACAGTTTTCTGTTTTAATATGTCATTTTTAATGTAATTTATTCATATGATGGCAAATCTGAATTGATATTGCTTAATATTTTTTTGTAGAGACATGATACAATTTTTTTCAGGATTCTTTGAATAGAAAGTTCAAAAGTTCCTCCTTTCTTTCTTTCTTTCTTTCTTTCTTTTGTTTCCTTATCTTATCTTTTCTTTTCTTTGTTTTATTTTTTATTAATTTCCTTTCTCACTCTTATTGTCCTTTCATTTAATTCTTTCCTTCTTCTTTTTGTTTTATTTCCTTCCTTTCCTTTTTTTCTGTTTATTAGTTCATTTTCTCATTCTTAATTTTCTTTCTTTCTTTCTTTCTTTCTTTCTTTCTTTCTTTCCTTCCTTCCTTCCTTCCTTCCTTCCTTCTTTCCTTCTTAAGTCTTACCCCAAACTTTGACTAGTAGTATATCATGGTTTCTACAAAAATATAAAAAATCTTTATTTTCATTTCTTTCAAACTTTTAACTAGTAGTGTATATGTTTTTTTTAAGACATGTCTCTGATATAGACATTTACGGCAATGGAAGTTTGTGTTGTCCTTAATACACTGTATATCAGAATTCGCTGCAAAATCAATGTTAATGCTTCTGCATGCTTTTCTGTGTTCTCATGCGATGCATTTCTCACTGTAAATTCACCAATAAATGTCAGAGGTTGAGAGAATGCGGAGTCTGTGAAGGCGCTCGTGATTTTCCGTATGGATCATCTGCCACAGATTTATACTCTTTGTAAAGAAAAAGCAATGAACGTTTTAGTGATCCTTAAAATACATTTTGTAGGGCTCCGAAAGCGGCATCATAATTGTCCTGCAGAATTGTGCTGGATGCCAGAGGGGCTGTAAACGTAGTTTTTACAGGGAATCTATGAGTGCCGGGTGTCTATAGTTTCCAAATGAGTTCTCCAGAAAATACGGTGGCAAGTAGTAAGCCGTTATCTCGGTCCGTCAGGGCTCAGGTACCCACACATTTCCTCCCCTCCCCCTCAGGGCACCTGTAGCACACTGTCGGTGAGGAGATTTGGCTACACTTCCCTGCAGGCGACGTCTCATATGGGAACGCGTTTCAAGTCGACACTATTAGCTGACCGGTGCCTTACCAATATTTGTCTTTCTGCTTCAATTGCACAGGTTGAGGCTGGAGATAATCTGCCAAACAAAAAACAAGTCAGAGTTTTGCAGCGGCTGCGGAGATAGAAGTGGAAACACACTTGAAGTGGCCTTGTTTTTTGCAGATAATGCCGCTGTTTACGGTTTTCTTTTAATAATCTGTCTGTATGGTCTAATCCAATTTAATGATTCTCCAGATTGCATTTTGATCCCAGGTCCTGTGAAGGGCAGGTATATCTGCCAGAAACAAAAGCTAATGTTTTTTTCCCCACTGGTTTTAGGCAAGACAAGAAGGGAGGGTGGAAAGTAGAATGGGCACAAAAAAGAGTGGCTTTTCAAGTGTCTCAGTACACTGTAAAACCTGATAAGTTAAGAATACTCAAAACATTTGAGTAAACGAACTAAATTTTTTTAAGTTAGTAGAGCTTAAATTTTTTATGACAAGTAGGGCGGGGCTGAGAGCCATGGGAGCCAAGCCAAGCCAAGCCTTGCTTCCATGATCCCACCCCACTCATCACAACGATAATTATATACAACTTGCTTCCATTAACAGCACATTCATTCAGATCTTTATAGTTGAGTGCTAGATAGCAACAGCACACTGGCATGTACTAATG